CACTTCTCAATAACAAAAATTCTGAAACCGTCCAAGCAATTGCCAAGTTTATCAGCGACTGTTTCACTAAAAGAGAGAATTTCATGAAAAGCAATTTACCAGCTGCCTCAAAATAACACCAAAAAATATTTATATAATAATATTTTCACAGTATTACTATTTATTTCTTTTTTATTATTATTATTACTTATGTATTTTATTGTTCCTTATATCCTTATTGTATTCTAATCTAGATCCCAGAAGGGATACGATATCAATAAAGGTTGTTACATACACGTACAGCTTTGTATGTGACTCCACCGAAACCTCAGACGTTTGAACACAATCTATACTCACACATATACTACAGTACAATTTTTTTTATAATACATGTGTATGTCCAGTTTATATCAAAGTAAATCCCATTTGGCTGGTAGACGTGTTTATGTTTTTCATGGTGCTCTTCAGTTGAGGTGATAGATTTTTTTAGATTTAGAGTTTGTTCGTCACCAGGGAAGTGAGGGCCATTGTCTAGGTTGAATTTGGGTATATGGTGCTTGGCTTTAAGAGTACTTTTTGGGAATCGTATCCTCGGGGGCGGACATCCGGGCATTTTCTACCGCCTGGCAACCCTCGCGGTGAAAACAAAGATAAAAAACTCGCAGAAAACGGTACTTTGCGATGGTTGTTGAGAGTCCCCTGAACACTGTAACAAGATTAGCCCTACGTGTGTAACATATATGAATTTGGTTGTTCAGGATTACTTCAAAGTTGAGTTTGTGTTGTTTTCTCGAATTTTCACCGGCTCCACCGGCGTTCCACAGCAGCGCACACAACGCTCATAGAAATACGTGGTACAGTGATGCGCGTCTTAGCAACGTAGAATGTCCGTGACGTAGCTCCGCCCCGAGGATATGCGATATTCTAGTGGTATTCAATAATCGTTGTAAGTCGTTTTTATTTTATATAACATGACGCACACTCAGAGTTCCTGTGCCTATTCGTGCGTCAGCACCGAGTGGTAAGCCGTCGCTCGCCACTCACGACTGTCCGATCCTTATCCAACTTACTAATGTTTCTTCGTTAACCTTGTGGTGTTGTATTCTGGGATATAACTACGCCCTCTTGCGTAATCATGTGAAATGTTGTGCGCCCGCAGCGACTGAAGTGAATACAACTTGGATATCAATCACTCCTGCGATTGCTCATCGGGCCAGAGGGCCTATTTTCATATACTTTTAGAGTCATCTCAGACGGGTAACAAGGCAACAGTTCTGTATTGTTAAATTCACATGAATGATACATTGTAATAAGATAAGTTAATATTAAAATCAGTCATTTAGATAATTATAATGTACCTAGAAAAAGTAGACATCATCGTGACAAAGTATTTTCAATATTTTTTACTTATTTCAAACAAAAAATGGAACTCGTAATCCTAAATCCTAAAAAAAAGTAAGTCCTGGGAACACCGGGGTACTCCCAATAGTAGGCAATACATTGCCACAAAATCTGCATTCATTTTTTTTTTAAACTTTTTTTTTTAATTTTAGGATACAAATACATGAATTAACAAAATCTGCATTCATTTTTTTTTTAAACTTTTTTTTTTAACAAATACATGAATTAACAAAATCTTAATTTAGCTAAAATGTCAACAATCTCATTGTGAGAATATACTTTATTCTAAATTAGCGACATCTTGAATTAGCGAAATTACAAATTAGCTAAATTATCCAAAATGACATGCTAGGTAAAAAGACGTGTTTTACAGTATCTATGATACATTTATCGTTAACGATAAAAAAATATCGATGATGGGCTCGTCAAATTAGTACCTTCAACTACGGAGGCCCAGTAACTATAAACAACTGGGCGCCGAACTGAGTACTGTGTCTACAAAAATAGCATATTTTTTACACTAGACATCAGCCGATTCCTAACGCCCAGGCGTACAGTTGATTATAGTTACTGGTCTCCCTTTGCTCCAACTGAAGAAAATATAACAGCATACGGCCTCAAACTAAAATAATGAACATGACCCAATTTATAATTCATTCGCAATATATACGAAACAGAAAAATAATTTTTCAACTAGTCTGGATGATGTTAATGTGAGTGTGTTATCGTTCCTTTTAAGGAAATGTCGTAGATTGGTCAGGTATTACGTCATTGGCTTTCGGCATTTCGATCCCATTCACCTCATAGTGATTGGTATCCATGGTTACAGGATAGTGTTCATTCTTTGGAAGACATCTCATGACGTAGATAACATTAGCCAGTATTACGCCAAAAATCACAACGCCCCACTGTAAAGAAAAAAAAGTACATTTTTTTGTTTCGATAAGTCAATAATGTATACCGCGTAATAGTTGATTATGTTCTTCGAGTATGTATTCAAATCTGCCTTACCCTCGTTCATAGCTAGTCATACTATGATCACTAATTAAACCTGTCTCACCAATACATATGTGTAGATTCATATCTTACAATGACGCGTCCTGGAATCTTACAGGTGGTATATTAAAGGGCAGTAGTCGTGCCAGTGCTTGTACGGCATTTATGTTGATAAACACTGATTTTCCCACAATCCACTGCGCTTTTCTAGTGGAAATCACATGTATGAGTTTTGATCTTCGGCATTACGTGAACTTATTACCACCGGTGACTCTTCGAAACCTTCCAATTATCAATTGCAAATGAATTATCTAGTTAAAGCTTGGTAACGTATCAGTGTGTACTCGTTGTTCTGAGCAACATTCAAAGTCGCTATGTTTGCTCATATATGAGATCCATATCTCGCGCATGCGTGGCGCGACGACCGGCGTTCTTTAACATAATCGTCATTTTATGCGAGCACGCCACCAACGTAATCAGTCGTGGCTTGAGCAGGAGCCACTGCTACACGCCACAATTCATGTGCATCATAATCAGTCACAAATGCCGAGCCTTACCTGTAACAAACACATCATCAATGTGTCAAATCCAAGTGTATACCAATCGGCATCGTTTATTATATTATCAAGCATGAACCAAAGCAGCAATATGGCTGCTTCTACCGGCGCAACAAACCTGTCATAGAACGAGGTCAAGAAAAATGTTTAACAGAGTATATAACATGAGACTCGACCACGTTTCAGACTCGTGTATATCAACACTAATCATGAATCAGAGAAAATGACAAACGGAATAGCATTTCTTTTTTTCTATCATTTAAATCTGTGGTCTCGAACTAAGGGACGTGTAAGTATACTGCGTGTTTCCCTTCGGGAAAATTATTTATTTTGTTCTCGCTGATTATATCACCCCAAAAGAAACTCAAAATTAATCAGCAGCTGTCTTTCCGTGTCACGTGATATGTTTGACCAATCACGCCATGGTTACAGTCGCCATATTTATTATTCGTAGCCAGTTGAAATAAAATCATTAAAATGATCCTCCAATAATACGCGAATATTTCAATTTATTTATATCCAGCAAAATCTTGCCAACAGATGCCGAGTTGCTTGTGAGGCAAAACAAGCCTGGTACAAAACATGTGCTGAACCAACTTCCGAACGAGGGTATAGGTTGGTGACGTGACCAGACAGCAATTTAAGTCTATTGTGGTTAATTCACCTCGAAATTCTTCTGTCGTCTTTACAGCAAACTCCACCTGTGCCACGCAGCTAAAACCCGCAAATGGTCGTGTGACTTCACAGTTTGGTCTTGAGTGAATTGGTGAAATGGCTTGACAATATGTAATATTTAAATTTTTAGAATATAATTGTTTACGTAACATTCCTTGGCGTGATACGTAAAGAATACGTTTATAAAAAGAATAATGCAGTTTGAGTTTTAACCTACATGTAAAGCCCAGATTTAGAAAAAAATAATTAACAAAAAAATTAACAAACAAAACACAACCAGGGCAGCCTGACCGAAAATGACTGGTAACAAGTTTAAAAAGCTGATATTAATTATTGCTATTAGTCCGTCTCCAACGTAGTCTGCATCAATATCGTCTCAGAGCATACATTGTGCACATTCCGATCAAATTTAGTTATTGTACTAAGATTTTTGCATTAAGCTCATACTCATCTGCTTCGCACATGCATATTGTTCACAGAGGCAGATTCAGAACCGGAACAGTGTTAATCTCTTATCAACTACTGCATTGTGGGGTATATGTGTATGAGCCAACCTCTGAATTCGAACATAGTTGGAATATTTTAAAAGTTAGCGCTAGACATTGCAACTTACTTTATGATCCATTCCCACAATTTGGGTAAGTACCAATCAGACGAACTGTATTCGTTGATGAGACGAGCCCTGAAATCCGAACTATCGTAGCGGATAACTAAATATTGTAAAAACAAGCCAGAGACGATCAGCGCAAAACCCCATACAAAATCCTAGTAGACACAAAAATACACATACATTACATTCATTGGTTACACATAGACCCCCTATGTGGTTGTTATTGAGCAAAGACGACTTGGTGGTTATTTTAAGTTCCAGCAAAATCAAATTTGTCCCGGATGTTACGTCATGCAAACCGTTATGCATGGAGGATGTCCGGAAGTGCATTCGCGTCGCCCCACGAACGTAATCCGGGAAGTAGTATGACGTGATTGTATTGTACCGTTGCTATGTAACTCATGTAAAATGTATTTAATTTATTTTATAGATTTGCCCAGTAAGTTGTCATGTATGAAAAAATAGCTACCTTTTCCCAAAACTACTTGGCACTGCGAGCAGGGGTGGTAAAAACTATCGAGAGACGTCCCAGTTGTGACGTTACATATCAGTCGAACGTTGGCAGGGGATGCGAACGCACTCCAGGTTAAAATATTGTTATCGAAAAATAACCCGTATGAAGAAAACATGGGATCTGCATGGGAATACTTAACTAACCAATAAACATAACATATATCAAAAGATCACTGTGATAGCACTGACGCACAATTATTTCAATATTTTCAAAAAAATTGTAATCGAGATTGTATTCGAGACCTGTATCAATCCAATAGTATGTACACCTAACCAAAATGAACTAAGAAATCCATAACAATATGAAAAATGTGCATCAATATTTTAAAAATATTGCGTTCAATGGGCAAAATCAAGTTGAAAACAACTCAATATATTTCTAACGGGCGAGGTGATTCAACGCTTAATAACGCGTTGTCACTCATTGATAAACAGCGCATGCGTGTTTGACAAGGTTGCACATAAGTTCATTAAGCGAAAAAGTTGTTAGATCACACCGCAAATCACAATTCAATATGTATAATAACCCGTGAAACACAAGTTAACAATCTGATTAAATCTGATGTGATGTACGGCGTGTATTTTTTCAATTCATTTATATTTTTTTATTAGTACTATATTTTTTGTATGAATTTAACTATTGCCAAATACATATCCATGTTGCTTTCGCGATTACAAAAACCTTATAAAATAATTAATAAAATAAAATAAAATAAAATAAAGTATGTGAAAAATAGATTAATTAAATACAAAATAAAAAAATAATTTAAAAATGAACCCAAACTTTTCTAAATCCGATTTACAAATACACAGTGTTATTTTATATTGTTCCATGGAACAAATTTACAAAATTATTCAATGTCTTACCTGACTTGCTAAGAAAGATAAATTGAGTGCGGACGGCAGACCAATTAGAAATACGACGGCACTGCATATAAGGACAGCTACTTTTCTTCGAACTACACGATTTAATAAAAACGAGCGTATTTGTATTATTATCTCCAGAGGGATATTTCACAACGCACTTATTGGTCTTTTTACAATAATTAGGTCATGTATAGTATCGTCAATTAATACACAACATCTTTTTTTTTCAGAAACTTAATATACTTTTGAAAATGTATGTTTCCCTTGAAGGTGATTGTATAAACCACGTGCACCGAGTATAGATTTTATATAACGCCTAGTTGTTGCAGTTAAACGGTTGACTCGAACCTGTGAAGTCGTGTTGTGTACATTTGGGCAATTTAAACCGCAAAATGTTTCCACAATTCTACTGCATACTCATCTAAGTATTGGCCGCCCTTATGCGCACGCCGCGGCCGGGCTACTCATCGCTCGATACGTCGACTCGAGGGCAATGATCACCTCACAGTCACATGCGCGGTGCATAAACTGGGGTATTCTCACCGTATCCCCGATCATATCGACACCAATTACTATTATTTCATATATGATTTAGTAATGCATAATTCAAATTTAAGTCTATTGTGGTTAATTCACCTCCCAAATCTTCTGTCGTCTTGACGGCAAACTCCATTTGTGCCACGACTGAACTTAGGCCTGCAAATAGTATGGCCAGGAAGAAGGCGATGGCTAACACTCTCCCGATTGTCGCAGTGGAATACAGCAAGGGCATCCTGTAAACACGATACTATGAAATGATTAAGGACACTGCATTGTTTACATATTTAGAATATTATCTAAAGTAAGTATTGACATTGGAACTATGAAATTCTCTTTTGTGAGAAAACCTGAAAACAATTGATTTTTGACAATAAAATTCTGAAATTTATAGTGAAAAGTATTCCATGTGCAAAACAATGCTAATTTTCATAATTGCAGATTAAACGAGAATATTGAAGAAAACAATTAATTCGCTACATTTTCAATATTTTTGCATTTTACTTGTCTTGAATTAAGAGTGAAAGAAGCTAAATAGTTACAAACTATGTAGTGTGTTCAATAACTCATGTATAAACAATAACTTTAGTATATTTTATTTTAGGCCACACTGATTTAATTGTATGGATGACATCCTCTGAAGACCCCAAAACTAATGCGAGAGGGCGAAAAAAAAAATCTTGCCAAAAAAAAAAATGCTGCTAAAACCACAGGACTACGGAGCTGTTATTACGAATTGAACCACAGTGTATCAAAAAAACAACAACAAGTCTTTATTTGTAGGAGGCACATGTTGATGTACACATCTCGTACTATATTACTGTCACAGGTATCATCACCTTTGATTTTGAAAAGGCAAGAGGATAAGGCAGGTGTTAGCTTTGCCAAAGGCATACACATCAACTCAATAATAAAGAAAAACTTACTGTGTTGTATTGAAAACAAAAAAATAATTAAAAATGAACAATATGTTTGTCAACAGCAACCTGGAAATTAACTTCTTTTTACATTCAAACTACAGATTTTAAAGTGACACTTCAGATAGACTAAGTGTAGACACCAAATGCTCTAGAACTACTTCAACTATGTAACAAGAGGCTCGATATTGAAAAAAAAAAAAAAAAAAAAAAAAAAAACACCAACAGAATCAAACATTATGTACATGTATCTTGATGAAAATGCATCATATGATCAAAATATTACTGACTGTGTGTGCAAGCAAATTATTCGAATCAAGAAATGAAAAAAAAATAATAAGAAACTTTTCTTTTCCCCGAAAGGGGACTTCGGCCGAGGAGCTTCCGCTGCTTTCGTTGCAGTTTTGTCGACTTCAATGCGGACAAAGCAACCGAACTGACTTGTCGCCTGACCAACTTTTAGGCCACCATACACCTCCATTTCTCTCCCATTTCTCTCATCGTTGCAGAAGAAACACGGGACAGCCACTCTGGACAGTATGTCCTTAAAGTTGTCTGGGCGAAACTCGCTTGCCGCTACCGATCTATCTCGTATTGCTGTGTAAACGTCACATCTCCTTGGCCAACGTCAGTTGCGTACCAGTCTACAACAATCCCTCCGTTTTACCCCTTAACTTTTATGCTCACATATTTTGGTGGTGTGGTCGCCATGTTGGATCATTTATGACAAAATTGGCATGTTTTGTGACAATCTCCTTCCCATAGGTCTTTGCGCTTTACGTAACGCGCATCTAACTGTGCGGAGTTTGGTTTTGAGGTAATCCAAAACGAGTTTTACGACAAGTCGGCGCTTTGCGACAATATGAGTCGGCAAGTTCCGCACAGAAAACCGATCTGTGGAGACTCGTCGTCAAAGATTTTTTTTTTTTTTTTTTTGAGAACAGGCGAAAACTAATGCGCGCGCGGATGTCATCCATAAAATTAAGTCGGTGTGGCCTTACTTGGTAAAAAAATACTGTATTTTTTGCATAAAAATGAAAATAAATGGAAAGTCTTTATCGCAGTGTTGGCTATAGGTGTATGAAATATACGACAGAGTTTAACTCACCATATAAAAGTGAGACCGGTGTTACCTGGTCCGTTGGTTTGTAGAAGCGTCAATATCTCCGTCAAGTTCTTACCTTGACTAATTTCTATACCAAAAACTGTTGCAAATATTGTCATCCCGTTCAAAAGACTGAAACAGAAGTACTTTTATCAGAGAGCATGTAGATAATGTCAAATGTCAAGTGTTTAGTACACATTGTTAGATACTAGAAAAAAAGATGTTGGCGTCACCGTAGAGGGAAATATTTGATTGACAAAGAATATATCATCCGCGCCCTCAGTGAGTTCAATCATACACGTGTAAATACTTCAGGTTTACAGTAACGTTTTTCCGACAGAGTTGGCGCCAGCTGTTTACAAACCTTATTATATTATTACTTATAGGAACAAGTGTTCCTATTCTGACGATGCCGTTGTCGGCGGTCATAAAGGCGCTGTAAGATATAAAAAGTCCGTTTCCAGCTCCAGTATCAAATGCTGACTGACTAGCAGCGTCTACCCATGTTTTAGGTGACAACAGTAGATCTGATAACGAATAATAACAATGATTAAGTATATGTACTTACGTAATTAAGTACAACATGTGTAAAAGCATAATTCACGCCCTCTAGCGACAAAAAGCTCGCGCCCTCTAGCAACGAAGCACTCACGCCCTCTAACGACTAAATGCAAATAGCATTCATATAAATATATATAATGCTACATACCCCAAGTAGGAGAAAACATGAACTTCAATCCATAAACAGCGTTATCAAGCGTCATTGCCCAGATAAACGTAAACAACAATAAGACGAGTAACGTCGGCACAAGTATGGAGTTGACGATTTCAATTCCCCTTACGGAGGTTAGAATAGAGAGGGCACCGAGTGTAACAATCAATGCGTTGCAAACCAGAGGCCAGTAGCTTTCCTGTAAAACAAACAGACGATATTTATGGTCCACGACAACTAAAAGGCAATTCAAAATTTCGTGTGAAAATTAAATGTTGGTGGTATGATATAGAGCGCCCTCATCGGGGACTGATTGATTTGTCGTTACTGCCGGTAAAGGGCGCAATTCATGAAGATTGCACTGTCCTACTTACTGCTGTAAAATTATAGAATATAGCCTCACTTTCAGTGAGATTTTCTGGCAAAGGGTAAATCATGAAATATACTGCGTAATAGAAGCACCATCCAACAAGCACCGCATAATAAGCACTGAAATTTAAAACATATATATTAATCACTTAAAGTTCAACACTATTTCAAATGCGTTGCCAGCAAGCAGGTATAGTTGCACGATTAGGAGACGTATGTAGCCGAGTTCTGCGGCATTCTGTTATTTGTATCGGGTGTGCTCTTGACCAGAATTATAAAAATTATGAATAAACTGGAGGGTCGCCACCTACGCACGTGCGTGGGAATTGTGTCCCTAGCGACGATAACAACACACGCTACAAACGCAAAGGCCCATGGGTAGACGCTTGTTTGTAAACAGTGACATGTTATGGCCATCTGACGCATGCGCAGGTGACGACTCCCCCGCTTTAAATTGGGAATCAGCAGGTACAAGGGATTGCACACGAAAACATGATATTACACATAACTCGAACTTTAAATGACGATGCCCTACATCGTGGCGGTACTCCCATGGTGCAACTCGCGTATTAATGTTGGGTTGTGAAATAATTCTGCACTGTTAGGACCGCTAATCTCATTGTTCAAGTAAGAGAAATGCACCATGGGAGTTCCGCAATGCGCAACAACGTAAATTTGAAATATGTACAGATTTACACGAATTTACTATATTATCCCAGTGTATTAATTTTCATCACCTATCCATCCCTGCCATCCATTTAACTGTGCTTATCCGTGATGAAAACACGTATCGTGACATCACTCACTAAAAAAGTAACCGTGATATATGTATACGACATCTCCTTTAGAGAATGTGAATATGCATAACAAAACTGCGTTCCATTCCACGCACATAAATATGAATTGTGATGTCCTAAGTAATTACAGAAATTTAAACGGATCGTGGAAAGCTATAACGCAGATATGGTGACGCTTTTCTCAGAATTTATGGGCGTGATCACTATGTCTTGCGCCCTCGTCGTCGGCTCCAAGTTCTCGGCTGTCTGTAGCCGTCGCCGAGGGCATAATTCATGCCACCCACTTCCCTCGCCGTACTAGAGGAGGGATTTTGTGACTTACCTAATGAGTGTAGCAGTTGTAATAATCCATCCCCCGCACCACATGTTTTTCGAACCAATGAGAAATTTGTAAGACCTGATTACAGACAGCTTACAATACCTTCCGACGGCGTATTCAATGAATAGTATTGGGATGGACCAGAGGAAGAGAAACAGAACCCACACCAGTAGAAATTGCAGGGCACCTAAAGATGAAAAAAAGTTTTACTGGGCTTATTGAAATGTAATACGTTGAAAACATAACGTAACAGTGAGTAGTTTTTGACCCAGTCTACATATATTTATATATATATAACGACTGCTCGGGACACTCCGAGAGTGCCCGTCGCGAGGACACGACACGACACGTTGCCATTGTAATATTAACAAAACAGCTCTATAAAACTACAAGACACGGCGTGTGAAATGTAAATGAGTACACAATTAAAAAAACCTGCATCTATTTTAGTAAATATTGATATCACCATAGTTACCTGTTTCACCGCTATTGTTGGCCAACACACGTGGAAATCTCCACAAATTCCCCGTACCCACCATACATCCCATACAACTGAGCACCATTCCAATACGGCTGTGGAACTTCCCGCGACTGGGCTGTTCATTGTCCGAATGTCCCTGTTGTTAGAAGATAAATCAAGAGCAATTTTTAATATCGTTGTTACGGAGTGTACTGTGATTTTACGTACCAAATACACAACTGCATCGAATAGTGGGGCATTAAAATGGATTACACAGCGCTGGTACATTTTAAAACAATTTCCCAATAAAATCCAAATGTTGTGATATTCATGACAAGTAAAGTTTGCACAAACATATACATCTAGCAATGATCCCCATATAAATAATACAAAATTCAAGATATTAGCATCAGTAGTCACAAATAACATTCTGGCGCTAAAACATTTTTTTTTTGAAATATTCAGACGTTTATAAACTATAACATTAATTTTAATTACTTCGATTCTATTGTTTCAATTAGACGGATATGTCAATTCTTATATATTTGCCAAGATCAACAAGGCATGACAGGTGTTTTACAAATTGGTACAGTCTCAAAATCAGCTACTGCGACCAAGCTGAAACTTTTTTGTCAGTCGCCGCGGATCTGGACAGATTAAGAACCACAAGCGGAATTGAGATGTTTTGCACATGAATACATCATCAATCTCTGGAACTTTCCCGTAGGTGTATACATGAAGGTAAAAAGAACTTTTCAAAAGAAGATGAAAAATGCTGTTCTGATGACTTGGAGTCAGCTGAGCAGATGTTTACATTGAGACTAGTGGAAGACTCTGGTTGATGCCTCACGTACGAATCCTCAGAATTGGCACTGAAAGGACGATGGACATATGCTATGTTGTAAGTCTTTCTCATGAAACAATGTGAATACTAGTTCAACACAATTGACGTAACAACAGAATTTTGTATTTATTGTATCTATAACTATTGCAATGTATACATTTCGGAAAAGTAACACTGTACATTGCGAGTTATTATTCACTCAAGAGATTACGTCATCGAAATCGCTGTGACAACCCGTAAAGCAGAAGATTGTCCACAAACGTTCAGTATTCTACAGTACCGATAGTGAACTTTTGAGATATCACTGATATTTCTGATTGTCCGTTAATCGTTAAATTGCATCTCATCAAAGTTTTCAGAGACAATTGCTGCGATATATGTTTCTTATATTATCATCGT